TCTGGTGGGTCAGCGCCCGCTTGTTTTGTTCGTGTCCCCTGGTGCGTGGGGCCACTGTGGCCGCCCTGGTGGGCATAGCTCCCCTTTGCCTGCCCAGAGATCCTGCTCTCTCTGTCCCCACAGGAGTCACCCTCAGGACCAGCACACGGCACACCCTCTTGCTCCGGCTCCTTGCCATGTGGTCATTCCAGGGCTGCCCCACAGATCCAGCCACATCATCTGTTCCTCATAGGGTCACCTGAGTGGGCAGCCTGGGGTCTGCTCTTCAGACCTGACCCAGCAGGACACAACAGGCAGATTGTCAGGGCTTACAAAAACAGAACTGCTCAGTGCTCAATAGCACCACCAATGGAAACCCATCAAGAAAAAAAGGCACTTTTTTTTTAAAGAAAGTTTGCTTTATTACATTAACTTTACACAATAAAAGAATACAAAACGCAGACTAGTCTAAATTTTCTTGCTGATTCTCTTGTAGACAATGTTGCCCACAGTAAAGGTCTGCAAGTCAGAAAAAAAAAACCATGAAATGTTACCGTGATGTTGAATTGTAAATGATGATGAAGCCCCCAATAGCTAACATATGAAGCAACTCAAAAGCTCCTCTGCTTCTGGACCAGAGGAAGGGTTGGCAATCTTTTCTAAATTCCCGCGCCAAGTCTTTGTCACTTTGCTTCCTCCCGTGGAGAGCTGTCCGCCCTTCACTGAATTCCTTTCTACGTCAATGGCTGTTAGAGCAAGACCATCCCAACCAGCCAATCCAACCCAATTTCTCAAAGTTTCATCGAGCACCTACTATGAACCAATATGTGCTGAGCACCTAGGACACATGTATGTGGAAACACGTAGGCACCCAGCCTGGGACACAATAATTCTCCTCCCAAAGCTGTGAAGCATATGAAAGCATTAGATCCCTCAGATTCACACACTTTTGAGTCTTTGAGGGATGTTCTGTTCTCCCCCAGGTCCCTTTCTCGTGCTGGTTCTTGGGAACACGACTGTGGCAGAGATGGAGGGCAATGTCATCAGGGTGGAAAAGGAGCCCCATAGCTTCAGCAGTGTCGCAATGGAAAGGAAAGATCGAGGTTTGAACCCTGGTTCCACAACTCATTCTCTGGGTGACCTTGGACAGGTCAGCCTGTCCATTGCATCCCTCATCCTGCCTCCCTCACAAGAGGTGGGAGCATGAGGGGCGATGGGACGCATCAAAGGACGGTGGCCAGGACTGAGTCCAGCACAGCTTATTTCCTGCTGCCCTGCAGGTGCCCCACCTCAGCTGTGACCGTGCTGGGACTGGGGCTGGGGACCACGTGTTTCATGCTTGACCCTCCCTCTCTCCTAGCTGAGGGATTTCTCCACTTGAACGGGGAGATGACAGGCCCTTTGGGCAATGTTCTGCTTTCTGTTGCTCCTCAAGACACAGCCTGGGGGCAAGGAAGAGCCAGGGGGACATAACTGCAGGAGAAACGCTGTACTATTCACCCCACACGGGGGCAGGACACGGCCTACAGCCAGGCACCGAGGATGGGGCCGCACACACCACCGGAGCGCCAGATTCCAAAGCTGCCGTGAAATGGCCAAGAACATCATTCTCCTTATAAATGCCAAAGGGCAGAGGCACTGACTCAGTGCCCTGGGCTGGCAGGGCAGATGGGCCTCTGGGGCTCATTGGTGAGTGAGGCAGAAGGGAAGGGTTATGGCTGACAAGCAGTGCAAAGTCATAAAATAGAAAAAGGAAGGAAAGAGCCCAACTTTTGGCCAGACAAAGCCTTCCCGGACTGTGGGGGGGGGGTAGTTGGGTCATGGGGAGGGTTGCTCCATGAATCAGAGGACCACAGGAGGTGGGAATGGATTTCCATGCTCCCGCCCGTGAGCGAGTCTTGAGTCAACATCCTGCTGGAGACCATGAAGGGTGAGCTGTGCTGGTGGCTCCCCAGGACCCTGTGTCTCCTACAAGCTCCTACTTATCCCATCCTGTTCGGGTGCTGGGGAAGGAAGGGGAGAGGAGGCGGGGGATGGCAATGAGGAGGGAGGAAGTGGGGGTGGGGGTTATAGAGTGATGGACTCCAGGCAGGAAA